GTGAGTGCGTGTGTGGTTGTGTGTGTGTGTGTGTGTGTGGGCGCGTGTTTGTGTGCGTGTGTGTGTGTGTGTGTGTGTGTGTGCGCGTGTTGATGTGCGTGTGTTGTTGATGTGCGTGTGTGTGTGTGTGTGTGTGTGTGTGTGTGTGTGTGCGCGTGTTGATGTGCGTGTGTTGATGTGCGTGTGTGTGTGTGTGTGTGTGTGTGTGTGTGTGTGTGTGCGCGTGTTGATGTGCGTGTGTTGGTGTGCGTGTGTGTGTGTGTGTGTGTGTGTGTGTGTGTGTGTGTGCGCGTGTTGATGTGCGTGTGTTGATGTGCGTGTGTGTGTGTGTGTGTGTGTGTGTGTGTGTTGATGTGTGTGAGTGAATCATGTGTTCAGTGGGTTGTGTTTGTGTCTGCAGGACCCGGGTCTGACGCCTCCGTCACCGTTGTTGGGTCAGAAGCCGCTGCAGCTGCTGGAGCTGAAGGCTCGCGGACGCTTCGGCTGCGTCTGGAAAGCTCAGCTGCTCAACGAACACGTGGCTGTCAAAATCTTCCCTGTGCAGGTATCTGACACATTTCATCTCATTACTGTTTGTGCATTTTTGCCTCTTCAGCCTCAGCATAAAAGACCAATACATACTGCTGCCATAAAGTAACTCAATACAGTGGTTTATTATTGTGCTCTAAATCTCTGCATTGATATACTTAAAAAATCATGGTTAGTGTTTGTTATAAACCTCTAACCCAGAATATTAAGCTTCTGCCATTAATTCAGCTTGAAAATACATTTCACTGTACTGTAATTTAAAATGTTACAAAACTCTACAATCTCAAAAATGATTGAATGAATCATAATCTACACCTTTGTACAGTTTTTTTATTCCCTAGAGGTCCATCTATGTTAGTCATGGTTTCTTGCATCAAAAAGTCATAATGTAGTTTTTTACAGTTCAAAATGCATACAATGAAAAAAATGTACAGTGTAGTTTTAGTCGTTGCTTTTGTAAACTGTTGTTTAAATGTTTATAAAATTCACATTGGTAAAGTGATGCAATGTTCAGCATTCAACAGCGATAAAGTCATTGTAATATTTACATACTGAATTGCAACTTTTGCACCTATTTACATGGCAAACACTGGAAATGTAAATCTAGTTGCTTTTATAAAACAACAGCAACAGCAGTGATAAAGCACCCCAATGTTCAACAAATAATTAATAACAATAGTCATAACAAAGCACCTATCCTTCAAGTAATATAGTTCATCAGTCTGTTTACACCTCAGCACATGAATACAGAAATCAACTAATGCACCTATACTGTATATACAGTGGTGCCAAAATGTACTTGGACACTTAAGTCACACTTAAAAATGCCTGAATTGTAAATAAAACAAAGATTATTGGATGTTTTACAAGAAAATACAACTTAAGTCTTTCTACTTCAAAATGTCATGTTTAAAAAAATATTGATGTGCATCAGAATTATTTGTAAATGGACAAACTTACAAAGACTTTGAATGTTGTTGATTTTGCATGTGTTTGTCTGTGATCTCTCTCAGAATAAACAGTCATGGCAGAGTGAATATGAGATTTATAGCTTGAGCGGAATGAAACATGAAAATATCCTTCACTTCATCGGAGCGGAAAAACGAGGAAATGGAGTCGATATCGAGCTCTGGCTCATCACAGCTTACCATGAGAAGGTGTAAACACACACACACACACACACACTTACTCATACACACACACACACACACACACACACACACACACACACTCACACTTACTCATACACTCACACACACACACACACACACACTCACACTTACTCATACACTCACACACACACACACACACACACTCACACTTACTCATACACTCACACACACACACACACACACACTCACACTTACTCATACACTCACACACACACACACACACACACTCACACTTACTCATACACTCACACACACACACACACACACACTCACACTTACTCATACACTCACACACACACACACACACACACTCACACTTACTCATACACTCACACACACACACACACACACACTCACACTTACTCATACACTCACACACACACACACACACACACTCACACTTACTCATACACTCACACACACACACACACACACACTCACACTTACTCATACACTCACACACACACACACACACACACTCACACTTACTCATACACTCACACACACACACACACACACACTCACACTTACTCATACACTCACACACACACACACACACACACTCACACTTACTCATACACTCACACACACACACACACACACACTCACACTTACTCATACACTCACACACACACACACACACACACTCACACTTACTCATACACTCACACACACACACACACACACACTCACACTTACTCATACACTCACACACACACACACACACACACTCACACTTACTCATACACTCACACACACACACACACACACACTCACACTTACTCATACACTCACACACACACACACACACACACTCACACTTACTCATACACTCACACACACACACACACACACACTCACACTTACTCATACACTCACACACACACACACACACACACTCACACTTACTCATACACTCACACACACACACACACACACACTCACACTTACTCATACACTCACACACACACACACACACACACTCACACTTACTCATACACTCACACACACACACACACACACACTCACACTTACTCATACACTCACACACACACACACACACACACTCACACTTACTCATACACTCACACACACACACACACACACACTCACACTTACTCATACACTCACACACACACACACACACACACTCACACTTACTCATACACTCACACACACACACACACACACACTCACACTTACTCATACACTCACACACACACACACACACACACTCACACTTACTCATACACTCACACACACACACACACACACACTCACACTTACTCATACACTCACACACACACACACACACACACTCACACTCACACTCACACACACACACACTCACACTCACACACACACTCACACACACACACACACAGGTACAGAAGTGTTTGTCATCGGCTTTATTCAGAATATGCATAAGGTTCACTACAGTCAATGTAAAATCCTGAATATTTACAAAATATGTAATATGCGGCGGTAAATGTTTGAAACAGTATTATGGTAAATTATTGTCACATGACCTCACTGTGTCACATGTTTGATATCATCTGCATGTGTGTTTGTTCTCAGGGCTCGCTGACAGATTTCCTGAAGGCGAATGTTGTGTCGTGGAATGAGTTGTGTCTGATAGCGCAGACGTTTGTGCGCGGTTTGGCGTATTTACACGAGGACATCCCCAACCTGAAGGACGGACACAAGCCTGCCATTGCACACAGGTACAAAATGTCTTTTAGATGCAAAGGACCCTCAAATTTCCTTGTGTGAGGGACCCCCATCCTAAAATTAACAGCCATCTATATAGTTTCTTGTAAAAAGACCCAGTTTATACTGTAAAAAAATGTATAATAAAAATTGCATAATAAAATGTGTACAGTTTCTTTGGAAAATATTGTTTAATTTTTTTTTCTACTCATTACAGTAATTTACTGTTAGATTTGTTTGGGGTATTTATTTATTTTTATTCTTTGTTTATTTATTGATGTATTTTTCTAGCACATTGATTTTTTTTTTTTTTTAAAAAAATGTATAATAAAAATTGCATAATAAAATGTGTACAGTTTCTTTGGAAAATATTGTTTAATTTTTTTTTCTACTCATTACAGTAATTTACTGTTAGATTTGTTTGGGGTATTTATTTATTTTTATACTTTGTTTATTTATTGATGTATTTTTCTAGCACATTGATTTTTTTTTTTTTTATGTTAAATGTTTTTTATTTATTTATATACTTATTTTTTATTTTAATAAATAAAATATATTTATTTAATTATTAATAATGAATTAATTAATTAATAATTTGATTAATTAATTTATTTATTTATTTTTATTATTATTAATTAATTTTTGTTGTGAGGGCCCCTCATCCTAAAATTTTATTTAGTTTCTCTTGTATAAAGATCCAATTTATATGGTTTGGAAAATATTTAGTTTCAGTTAAGTTACATTATTATTATTATCATCATAAATGTTTTTTTCTCTACTCATTATCGTAATGTACATTTAGGTGTATTATTTTTATATATATATTCTTTATTTTTACACCATTTTTCTCTAAACTTTTTCACAAACCCAGTCCCTACTTTGAAACCTACTTTGTAACTTAACCTCTCTCTCTCTCTCTCTCTCTCTCTCTCTCTCAGAGATATCAAGAGTAAGAATGTGTTAGTGAAGCGTGATTTAACAGCATGTATTGCTGACTTTGGCCTGGCACTGAAGTTTGAAGCAGGGAAATCTACAGGTGACACACACGGACAGGTATGATTTTTGCATGTGCTCCAAACTTCACTGACCAGTGCTTAACTGTGACAGATTTCAAGTGCTAATTATTCATTGCTGAGGTTTTATTGTTGTGTGAAGGTGGGAACGCGGCGTTACATGGCTCCGGAGGTGCTGGAGGGAGCGATCAGTTTCCAGCGCGACGCGTTTCTGAGGATCGACATGTACGCCGCGGGTCTGGTGCTGTGGGAACTGGCCTCTCGCTGCACAGCAGCCGACGGTAACAAACACCCATTCACTCACACTCAGGTGAAGTCATGGGATAAACCGGGACTGATCCGTGTGTGTGTGTGTCTCAGGGCCCGTGGATGAGTTCTGTCTGCCGTTTGAGGAGGAGGCAGGTCTTCATCCGTCTCTGGAGGACATGCAGGACGTCGTTGTGCATAAGAAGCTACGGCCGATATTCAGAGAGCACTGGCTAAAACATACGGTACTACACACACACACAATCCACATTATATTTTCTATATTTTCACAAACATTCTGCATTTTAACATTTTTAAGTGAACATGAACTCATTTAACCCTATATATACTCTTCAATTCATGTTCATCATCAGTGATGTTTATTGAAAAGAAAATTAAAGTCTTAATCTTTCATCATGATGTAAAAAGTTCGGACACATCTGAAATAACTTTCATATAGAGACACTTTTTATTATCTCATCGATGCTTTGTGTCAGATAATACAGATTAATACAAATATTACCTGTCTGACCATAGTGACTATAAAACCTAAAGTTTTTCAAATGTATTTGTCAGCAAAGTTCTGAATAAATATAAAAGTAACACATGAGTGTTAGTAATATTTTGTTTATAAATAGTAGTCTTTTATTTCTATTTAGCTTTTATTTCTATTAATTTTAGTACTTTTTACATACAAATTCTTAACTGAAAATGTTACCTAAATTAAAACGTTTTTAACCTAATATTTCTATTTTATTTCAGCTTTATTTTAAATAACAGTTTTCAACAGTAACAACACTGACACATTAGGAAAAAATAGTGCTTGTTAGTCATGGATTTTGAGAAATATAAAGCCAAGGTTATCTTCTAAAGTTTTTCAAATGTATTTGTCAGCAAAGTTCTGAATAAATATAAAAGTAACACATGAGTGTTAGTAATATTTTGTTTATAAATAGTAGTCTTTTATTTCTATTTAGCTTTTATTTCTATTAATTTTAGTACTTTTTACATACAAATTCTTAACTGAAAATGTTACCTAAATTAAAACGTTTTTAACCTAATATTTCTATTTTATTTCAGCTTTATTTTAAATAACAGTTTTCAACAGTAACAACACTGACACATTAGGAAAAAGTAGTGCTTGTTAGTCATGGATTTTGAGAAATATAAAGCCAAGGTTATCTTGAATAAATGTGACCCTGCAGCACAAAAGCAGTGTTGAGTCGCTGGGGTATATTTGTAGCAATAGCCAACAATACATTGTATGGGTCACAATTATACATTTTTCTTTTATGCCAAAAACATGAGGATATTAAGTAAAGATCATGTTCCATGAAGATATTTTGTAAATGTCCTACCGTAAATATATCAAAACTTAATGTTTGATCAGTAATATGCATTGCTAAGAACTTCATTTGGACAACTTTAAAGATGATTTTCTCAACATTTAGATTTTTTTGCACCCTCAGATTCCAGATTTTCAAATAGTTGTATCTCAGCCAAATATTGTCCTATCCTAACAAACCATACATCAATGGAAAGATATTTATTCGGCTTTCAGATGATGCATAAATCTCCATTTCAAAAAATTGACACTTAAGACTGGTTTTGTGGTCCAGGGTCACATATAAGAATACATCCAAATTTCAGATTCCATATTTCCAGATGACTAATTTTTAAGCTAATTAGTGATTTGGTCATGTGACCCTTTGTACTGTTGATCAGATTTTCTTACTTAAAGCTCAAGATGCTTGAAGATGCATGATGTTCAAGTTTAGTTCATGTAGCTTCAGAAAAAGAGGCACACACCACATGGACAGCTCTCAAACTTTTATTTTTTATTTTGTAAATCTGTATATCTGTAGGGCCTGGCGATGCTCTTTGAGACCATAGAGGAGTGCTGGGACCACGAGGCCGAGGCGCGTCTGTCTGCGGGATGCGTGGAGGAGCGCATCATCTCAATGCAGCGCAACACCAACCTCATCGCCCCCGACGACATCCTCTCCGTCGTCACCATGGTTACCAACCTGGACTTCCCCCCTAAAGAATCCAGCCTATGATGCCGTTCTCTCAGCCAATCAGCACACAGCGTGTGCGAAAGAAAACCGGACTACGAATGACTCGAGCGAAACGAGCGGGGGAATAATTCAACGACTCGCACTTACACACGGAGGAACTCAAGAGATCAAACACACACGGACGTCTCTGTTTGCACCAAAACCTCTTTTATGCATTAAGGAAAGACTTTTGTGTTTTATATGAACAGCAGCTCGTACGATTTTAGTATAAAAAGGGCGAAACTCTGGACTGCGTTTGCTGTTCGTTTCTGCGAATCATAACAGTCATGCCAATACAAGACACTTCTGAATGTCTGCCGAATCACACACGGATCTATGAGAAATTATGCTGAAATAACCATAAACCTCCCTAAACAGGTATACCTCATTTTGATTTCTCGTGCTTTTTTCTGAACAGCTGCTACGGAGGCGAGACGAGTAGCTGTAACACACGCTAGCGTTTCTGCCGTTCGCGTTTCTGCTTCATTTCATCGCAGTCTTTCTAAAGGGGTCGTTTCATGAGGAATCAACGCTCGCTTCACTAAATCACAGAAACCAGGGTCCAATATTAGCGTCTGCCAATGCTGGATCAATTCGGACAGTTTACCACTCATGCAACTGTATTCTTGCAACACAATTTTCCAAAATAGTGACACATCATATGCAAAATGAGCCTCCATATTCATCAAACTGCACCTGAGACGTTGGGTTTTTGTTCATATTTATCTTTTGGTGGCTTTATACGAGTTATAATCCAGCAAGTCATTTTGACCCTACACTGCAAAAACGACTCGTTCTCTACATCAACTTTCTGATGTGAACTAGATTAACGTCAGTGCATTAACATGTTAACAGCGATTCAGAAACTATAGAAGCTTGAACATTTTTAAAAAGGTAATTGCAACTTTTTATCTCACAATATGGATTTATATTTATGTATTAGAATTCAGACTTTTTATTTTGCAATTCAGAGAAGAAAGTCAGACGTGATATAAACGGAGAATTCTGAGGTTTTCTTGCAGTTCCGAGTTAAACCTTGCATTTCTGAGCTTATAGCTCACAATTTTTGCTTTTTTCTCACAGTTCTGTTTTTTGTTTCAGACATGAATTCCAGAATAATTTGCAATTACAAGTTTATATCTCGCAATTCTGGAAAAAAAAGCCTGATATTGTGAGAGATAAACTCGGAATTGAAAGGGTAAATAAAAACTATTTATCTTTTGGTGGCTTTATACGAGTTATAATCCAGCAAGTCATTTTGACCCTACACTGCAAAAACGACTCGTTCTCTACATCAACTTTCTGATGTGAACTAGATTAACGTCAGTGCATTAACATGTTAACAGCGATTGAGAAACTTGGGCCGCCGAGTCTCGATGTCCAACTATAGAAGCTTGAAAATTTTTAAAAAGGTAATTGCAACTTTTTATCTCACAATATGGATTTATATTTACGTATTAGAATTCAGACTTTTTATTTTGCAATTCAGAGAAGAAAGTCAGACGTGATCTAAACTGAGAATTCTGAGGTTTTCTTGCCGTTCCGAGTTAAACCTTGCATTTCTGAGCTTATAGCTCACAATTTTTGCTTTTTTCTCACAGTTCTGTTTTTTGTTTCAGCCATGAATTCCAGAATAATTTGCAATTACAAGTTTATATCTCGCAATTCTGGAAAAAAAAGCCTGATATTGTGAGAGATAAACTCGGAATTGAAAGGGTAAATAAAAACAGAATTATCAGCTTATATCTCACAATTCTGACTTTTTTTCCTCAGAAGTTTCTTTAGACTCGTGAGAAAAAAAGTCAGACTTGCGAGATATAAAATCAGCCACAATCAGCTTTATTTTTATCCCGTGTCTGACACAAGCTTCCAAATCAAACCGTCTGAACACCAGCAGAAATAATCAAAGCAGAGAGTGTGAACGCTTGTGCTGTTAGAAACAACATCTCTGATCATTTCAGTCTGATCTGAACCATTTAAGATTGATTTATGAGTCACAATCTGATGCATCTTTACAAACAGGCTGTTGTTGAAGGATGGAACAGTTAAAAACTATATTGAACTGACAGCAAACACTCATTTAGCATGAAAAGACGTTGTTTGCAGGAGCAAAAATCCCTCATCTAACATTACGAGTTGACCTCGTGGGATAAATAAACGCTGAAAAAGCCCTTTTAATGACAGTGTTTTCACACAACAGCATCTTTCAGGGCGTAACGCCACATTCTCCTTCATCTCTGTCTCTTCATCTCTTTCTGAAGCACTACAGCAGTATTCAGGGACGCAGGTTTCTGCTCTTACAGCAATTATGCAACCAACATGCAGCAGAGATTGCAACTGTAGCGTACCGAGTCTAAACCGCTTCTATTTATTTCATTAATAATGTGACAAACTCTCAGTACTGTGAAAACAAACGCCGGTTATTATTGCCCTGAATGTGTTAGCAGACAAAGCAGGTGTTGGGTGAGAAATAAGTTTGTAAAAGACATTTCAGCTCAATCTGTAATTCCCCCGAACACACACATGTACAGCAAATGAATAATGTAAATATGATCGTTGGTTTTAAATTATTAGACTAGCATGATGTTGCTCTGTTCTTTTTGGTGTCACTAATCGAAAACAGTCGTTTATAAAGAAATTATACCAGAAGATTGTACTGCTGGGTATTTTATACAACTTTTATACAAACTCACTGATTATGCATGTGATTCTCTTCTTAAAAAGAAATATATTAAGACATTTTCTTTATACTCTTTTTTTTGTTTGTTAATGAATGCTGATGAGCTGATGAACTTATTTACAACAACTTTAAATCAGCATGAAATCATTTTTGACTATTATTTACTTTAATACATATTCTCGGGCCTGTGTTTATTCCACACATCAAATTGTCATCAAAAATTGTGTATGCCATTTCCTAAAAAACATTTTTAAAAATTATATATATATATATATATATATATATATATAAACTAGTTTAATGCCTTCTCAGTTGCTTAAATATTAAAAAATATATTCAAATATACAATTTATGTAACTCAAAAGGCATTAAAATAACCTAAAAATGCAAGATTGGTAATGGATGAAAATGTTTACTCATTGCTCAATATAAACCAACTTGTGATACAGACTTCATCGTGACTAAAATGGAAAGGTCTCCTGATAAAAATTACTCAAAATGTAATATTAATGACAAAAAAAATACAAGGTCGTTAAATTATATGTATAATAAAAGTATTTGAAAAGTATTGTTTAAAATAGTTTTTGATGAAGTTCACATCGTATGGAAGCACATTTCTGCCACGGGATAAAAAAAAAAAAGAATTGTGACCTCATAATTCTACCTTTTTTTTTTTTTTTTTTAGAATTGCGAGATATAAACTCAGAATTTTGAGAAAAAATGTCAGAATTGTGAGACAAAAAAGTTGCAGTTACCTTTTTAATTCTTTTATCCCGTGGCTGAAACAGGCTTCCATAATATTGTCGTCAACTACCCAAAATTGACTTTACAAATTGGAAATTCTGTTAACATTTTTATTGCAAAAAAAAAAAAAAACTATATACAATTTAAATGTGCAAACTGTACATATTTCAGCATGTGCAGTGTTCAGCCGAAGGCCCGAGAGGGCCCACTGTTTGACGTCTGTGGGGCATTGTGGGTACCTCTGCAGCGCCTCCATCACCTGACCGTGTTCCAGCATCAGCCGCATCAGCTGATACTCACGCTGAACTTTACACACACCAGAGTCCACAGGATGCTCAAATGCCTGAACACACACACACACACACAGATATACGCACACACACACGCACACACAGATACACACACACGCACACACAGACAAACACAGATACACGCACACACAGATACACACACACAGACACACACACACACAGATACACACACACGCACACACACACAGATACGCACACACAGACAAACACAGATACACGCACACACGCACACACAGATACACGCACACACAGATACACACACACGCACACACACAGATACACGCACACACAGACACACACAGATACACGCACACACACACAGACAAACACAGATACACGCACACACACACACAGACAAACACAGATACACGCACAAACAGATACACACATGCACACACAGATACACACATGCACACACAGACAAACAGATACACGCACACACAGATACACGCACACACAGACACACACACACATACACACAGATACACACACACGCACACACAGACAAACACAGATACACACACACACAGATACACGCACACACAGACACACACACAGATACACACACG